CTCTCTCTCTCTCTCTCTCTCTCTCTCTCTCTCTATATATATATATATATATATATATATGTGCGTGTGTCAGAGCAAAATGTTTCTGCGTTCCTTTGTTTCATCGACATATATTGTGTTTGCAACAGGAACCTGCAAAGAAGTGGGAGGGAGTTTTGCTGAGCCTAGAAGTTGCAGGGAGCGAACCCGGCATTGATGGGGAAGAGATATCTCCTTCAGCAAAGGAGAACGTTGCCACTCCTTAAATTCTACTCTCTCCTTCCTATTTTCCCTATCTTCATTTCTAACATGCTTAACAACTGACGTCCTCTTCGGCTCCGTGTATTCCTGATGCGTTTCTAACCCATGTTTCCCCAAGTCGTTGCCTTCTGGTTAAGTTATGATGATAGTAAGAAAGGCTTGCCTTGGATCATCTTCCATGGCATCATGCATGTACTTATACATGGGAGGCTGCACGTTATAGGATATGTACAATAAATAAATGGCAGCAGTTTAACCTTTCTTCTGAATGGAAGCAAGCAAATGTTCTGTAACCAGGCATGGAATGCTTGGAAATGTGTACGTTCAATGACTTCCCTCATATTTGTTTTCCCATTTTCTTGTGTAGCAAGAGAGGTAGAAAGAGATGAACACATTTCACAAACTAATCTAATCAAATGCCCTGAACATTGAACATTTAATTTGGAATGAATACCAACATTTTAAAACCATGGGAGATGTGAGAATTCAGCTTCGGTCAGCATCCGCCAATTATGTTCGACCCTCTTTTATCATCAAATCTTTATCTTTTCATCCGTATTTGTACATTTGTTGGTATCTTATGGTCGTCAGTTCTAATCTCTATTTGGTGTTGGGCCTGTTGAGCTCACCCATTCAAGCGCTCTCCTAGAATTGCCGGAAGCACGAGCGAAATTCAGATATGGGATAAAATTACACCTGATTTGTGTGCATGTGTGTCAATGGAAGTAAAACAAGCATAATAAATCAAATAAATATTAAGATCAGATTTTTGTGGTTCACCTTTTTTTAAGTTAATCTTTTGGCTATATGGCATTTCAAGGCCTTAAAGCCAAGGATCTTTTGTTGAGTGGGGGTGAGAGAGATTGAATTTGGGTACTTGGCGAATTGGGATCTAAATTTGTATACCTCGAGTGCATGAGGCGATGAGTGTTTATGTTTTGAGATAGCAATCTCTCACAGAGGAGTGAGGGTGACTTTTGAGTCATGGTTATATTGATTAGGATGCCTCGTGATTGGTTAGGGCTGGAAAAACCAAACGAGAACAATAGAACCCAGGTATTTTTTGAATATTCACCTAGTATGAAATGGTCATGACTTATGGAACATAAGTTTATACCCTAACATGAGACCACCCCATGGGATGTACATTTATAATCGCATACGAAGTCACTCTTATGTAGTATTATCCGATTTACAGCCGCATGGGAAGCACATGCACCTTGAGAGGACCTTTGTATTAGAGTACTTACATATCCTACAAAGGTGCACTTATAAGCTACTGAGAACCCAATGGTAGACAGCTTAATTATGGTGCTTTTGATGTGACAAATTATGTCACTTACATAGACTGTAGATCATAGGTCCATTAGGTGTCATTTTGAAACGAAGTAGACCATCATTCAGGACTAGCCCAATGGAATACGTCAATACCTAGTGTTAAACCTAGAGATCTCATTTATCTTTGATCTTATGAGAAAAATTGTATTTGATTAAATATCATTCATATATTTTTGGGAATTTTTGGGAATGTTTGAGTCACCAAAATGAGCATTTTCAAATTTGGCTCCATCAAATAACCTTTAAAGACATCCCATTAGGATGCCACGTGGGTCCCAAGTGGCCATAGGGATGCCACATGGCAACCCCACGCCCCCCTTGAGGGCTAATGTGGTGATAACGTCAAAGCACCATGTGGGGACCTTATTGGTATGTTGTTATTTGTTATATTTTTGTTATATTGTTTTTTGGTGTACAATTTGAATTATAATTTCATAGAGTTTTTAATTCATTTGGTTACATTGTATTTTCACTCACACGTGTCTAGCTTTGGCTTTTGTGAAGCCAAAGAATTTTTTAGAAATATTTGAATTTAAAAAATCTTATCCACTTGGGATTTTTAGCATGCGTGAAAATATCATGAAGATTTGTCCCATTGGGGTGATCTATGTGAAGAGTGGGTTGATTAAATCTCATTGGATGTGTCTTATAAGATATTTTATCAATTACTAAAATGAACATGTCCTTGTCCATGAAGAACTCTAATGATTTTATTAAAACCCATGGGCATTTCAGTAATCTTTACAATGGACTTAATTAGAATTTTTTTTATGGGACATGGACTAAAAGTTAAAAGGCTAAACTTAGGGTTTTAAGGGGTAATAAACGTATCAAATTTCATCCCTTCATCTAGGTGGTTGGATGTGGATGAGTGACTAGGATTATAGCATTTAATGTGTCATAGATGAGGAACACTAAAGGTCAAAATCATTCATAGCTAACTACTTAATATAAATATTACACAAGGTTCATCACACCCTAAGTTAAGAAAGCCCTCTTGTGAATAGAGAGAAAGAGAGAGAGAGAGAGAGATCTCCTTGGGTTCCACGCATCAAACGTAGAGTTCCCTTTTGGTGATCAAGCTTGATGATCATATTTCCCATATGGAGTTAGTCCCCCTCTCAAATTCGAATCATATCTGCAGCCATCAAGGTATTCACTTAGATCAAGTTCTATTCTTAGTATTTCATCTTTTCTTCTTCAAAAAGCTTACTGTAAATTTAAATTTACATAAGGTTTTGCACCTTGTGATCTTTAGTTTAATTGATCTTTGTGCTAAAATTGAATAGTATTCACTGGTCGTACTCCATCCCTCAACCACTTTGTGCTAAAACTGAGCCGGACTCCCACCAAAGCCGCTCTTCTTACTCATGAAATATTCACTAATCATACTTCATCCATTGATCACCTAAGAATATAGGGTTGTTCTGCCCATGTCCTAATCCTATATTAAAATAGGACTACGCTTGATCCCAAAACCATCAAGCCTATATCTATCGGCTACCCTAACCATAGTAAGGGATATCGATTCTACAACCTTGAAAAATAGGGAGGTTATTGAAAACTGTGATGCCCACTTCTTTGAAGTTAAGTTCTTTGAAGCAAAAGTGAGTTACAAACAAGCCGATCTCTTTGAGGAGGCCAGTGACAAGGTTGAGTTTCGAGAACCCAACCTTGAACTTAAACTTAGAAGAAACCACCGAGTTAGTAGATCACCTCAATACCTTGAGCACTTTACCTACCTAGGGGAATATTATGAAAGGGTTGTGGATGAACCAGATCATAAACCTAATTCTTACCAAGAAGCTATAACATATTCCAAAAAGGACCATTGGGCAGAAGCTATAAAAGATGAATACTCTTCCATAAACTAAATCCATGTTAACTGTAAGGCAATAGGATGCAAATAGATTTTCAAGAAAAAACTTAACTCATAAGGGAAATTAAAAAATACAAAGGTTAGTAGCTAAGGGATTCACCCAAAAAGAAGGGATAGACCATGAGGAAATCCTCTCTCCAATCGCGAAGTTTTCATCAATTAAAATCCTAATAACCATAGCAACCCATTTTGACTTTGAGGTCCACCAAATGGATGTGAATACAGTATTCCTAAATAGGGATTTAAAAGAAGAAATCTATATGAAACAACCTAAGGGATTTGAAGAAAAGGGAAAGAGAAACCTAGTGTATAAACTTAACAAATCCCTCTATGGCCTAAAACAAGTATCGCACCAGTAGTACATCAAATTTCAAGAGACTCTATCTCTTATGGGGTTTTTCTCAAATGAGGAAGACCACTGTATCTATAAAAAATCAGTGGGAGTGATGTAGTGTTCATCTCTATATGTAGATAATATGTTAATTGTTAGTAGCTTAATTACTCTCGTGTTGGAAACAAAAAAATTCCTTGTAGAACAATTGGATATGAATGATCTAAGAGAAGTTTTATATGTGTTGGGCATCAAGATAATAAAAAACAGAAAAGGGAGAATCATCCAACTTTTCCAAGCGACTTACTGCAAGAGAGTACTGAAAAGTTTGAGATGGATAAATGTAAGCTCATATTGACCCCGATAGATAAGCTAAGTACTAAAATGTACCCTACTAAAGACGAATAAAATAAAGTCCTGAAAACAGTACCATATAGAAGCGAAGTAGGGTCCCTCATGTATGTAATGATAGGGACAAGACATGTTTTGTCCTTTGCCAAGGAGCATGATTAATCGATTCCAATACAACCTTGGGATTGAGCATTGGAAGTCGGTTAATAGAGTTTTTAGATATGTGAAAGGGGCCGAGAACTACGCGCTGACATATGGGGGAGGATCGAAAATCGCTAGTCAAGGATGTTCTGATATAAGTTACCAACGAGATCCAAATAATGTGAATTCAACATCGAGATATGTGTTCATTCTTGGAGGAGGAACTGTTTCCTAAAAATCAAAAGAACACGATGTGGTTGCGTTTTTCACTATGGTGTCAAAGTATGTGGCATGGTTGCATGGCAGCCACGGAGGCTGTATAGATTAAGAAGTTTTTTAATCGGCTTGAGTTTAAGCATGTACATTATGAGCGCGTAAGGATATTCTACGAAAAAACAGCAGCGACATGTGTATCCAAACAGCCACAATTCTATAAAATTCCAAGCATATAAAGCCTTGCTACTATTACTTGCAGAGAAATCGATATCAGTTACATACTTATAGAGATAATGATTGCAAACCCGCTTACAAAGGGGCTTGCACCAAATGTTTTGTGAAACATGTGAGAAAGATAAGGCTGAAAGAAAGTAAGGAAGAGAAATTGTAAGACCTTCAAAGGCCAAGTGGGGGACGTTGGGTTTGTGTGACCATTAAAGGCCTTATGAGATCTTGTATTCAAATATTTGAAATAGTGGAATATAAATTCAATGGGAGTGTGGTCCTTTGTGAACCATGATAGGCAAATGATATTTGCTGATACTCAGACTTGGCTTGACATGCTAACCACTCGAGTTGAAAATCTCGATTACTAGACATGAAATAAAATCGATGAGCATTTTATGAGTCATCCCTTGATGAGGTCGGAGTTACTCAGATGTGTGACCCGAGGGACTGTGTGACCTTTGTGTGTGATGGTTGGCCTTTAGAAACGAGGGCCAGAGCCCACCATCATATGGCACGTACATATGATAGCCGTATCGGGAAGCAAACCACATTTATGGGTGAAGCGTGTACAAGTAGGAGAGATTACCCTTACGCATCATAGAGTTGTGGTTGCATGTGATCTAGGTGACATAGGGTTCATCTCCAGGGAGAGCCTGCAGTCCATAAATTATGATTATGTTCTCTTGCCTATTAGTTGGCTCTGGTATTCCAATCATCAACCCCTAGAGTAGTATGTGGATTATGGGAACTATTGAGTCAGTTTGAAAAAACAAGTATGCATTATAGTCTGCAGTAAAAGATATTGTGCTTTAGTGATATTATAATTTTTAAACCTATCAGATCTGATTCCCCTCAAAAAATTTATTTTTA